TATATATATATTAATAACATCTAAATAAAAGTTTATGATTAAATCAAACTTTGACTAATCGAGCATATCATTTATCAGTGGCTTGCTTGTAGCAAACGCAAATTACATCAAAGTCCTAACTAATCCTTACTTTTGAATTAAACTTACAAAACAGAAACTCTTTATTGATCAACCACTCCTGAAGAATACTACATACTCGTGTACATAAATATGAAGGTGAAATAGAAGCATACGTGAATGAAAAATCAAAATAGTATGTCACAAACATAAATGGTACGTAGTAACGCTATGGTCCATATATCTAAAACGCCACAATGACTAACGCAGAGAAGAAGAGGAAGTGAATGAAAGTTGGAAAAGAAGTGGACGCAGAAGAGGAAGGTGATAGTGGAGTGGTGGTGGAAGACGGCGGAATAGCGGTGGAAGGTGGCAAGGCAGAGCCTGAGACATTGATGGCTAACCTTTGTCCATTGGCACAGTGCTGACCAACGCCACAAATGTAGTAATGTTCACCACCTCTATTTAGGGTAATGTTACTAGGGCCCGTGTTCCATGTTGAACCTATTGGATTATTTGAATTGCACGAACTGTACGAATCTCGGGACACTTCAATTACATTATGCCGCCCTGTCTGGAAATCAAAAGCTTCAAACCCAAACAAATTACATTAGTTAACCCAAATTGAACTAAGAAATTAAGCCACAATTCCATGTATTGTTGTTTTTAATTTACAATAATCTAAACTATGGGTGATATCATATGTATGACATGTTAATTGTTGCTTACCTAGAATGTCTCCAACAGTGAAATTCTGGTTAGAAGCCCAATTTTGGTATGTGGTGGTATCTTGTGGAACTCTCCAACCCTGGCTATCTCCAACTTGGTGCACTCTCTGTGCCTCTGCGTAGTGTAAAAGCATTAAAATTGCCACCACTCCACCAAGACCACTCATCTTGTTCATGTTCATGTTCAACTCGTGCAAAGTATGTTTTGTTAGCGTAAATTGAAGTGGGAAAAATAACAAGTGCAAATGAAAGTGAAGAGATGAGTGCACAAATGAAAGTGGAGAGCAAACCTATATAAATAAGGGAAGAAATTATGGTAGCAAGGTAAAGGTGATTTGACTTTAGTGCAAAATATTATTGCATGGAAAATCAATGCAAGTTGTTTCGGTTTACTTTAATAGTCTTAATCTTAAGTTGAACATTCAGTTGCATTAAATTATTTTTTTTTGCTTATAATGATCTTAGTTAGCTTGATTAAGGATATTTTAGCAGATAATAACAAACAAAAAAACACTATTGTATTATGGAAGATAGTGAAATATATGGTTGAAGTTTTCAACACGGTCTTTGTGGGGTTAACGTGTTGATGGTTGTAGTCACACCGGTGGAGACGCCACTCTTGAGTCTCGCCCTTTGCCATCACGCAGTGACTCCCAAACCATTACCAACCTAAACTCAATACCAAGTCTTCGTACCAACTACAAACATTTAATTGATCTTTAGCTCTTAATTGACTTTTTCTTTTTCTTCCCTTATGCATATTTGATTGAAATCGGAAATGGGCTTTCACTAGATTAATTAATACTACTAATATGAAGAAAAATGTTTCATTTTTTAAAATAATATTTTATAATTGACTTCTAATTTTCTTTTTTATTAAATGAATTTCATCAGCTGTAATTGTGAGTGTGTAATTTATTAAATAGTTATACTTAATGTCATCTTCTTTTATTTTATTTCTGTGACTTTTTTATTTTTATTTTTCGGTTTCTTTTCAAATGCTAGTCATGCCGGGAGAGATTTTCGTAGGGGAACCCAAAGTCAGTGAGCATTTGATACGCAATTTCCAAACGCTGAAAAATTCCTTTTCGAGTGTGTAGTTGTGTTCGTTCCTACGTCAATTTATCAAACGATAGTAGCCAATTTTTTCAATTCTAAAAAGTCCTGCAGGTTGTTAATTTATCCGGGCCAGCCCAATCTATATCACATGTTAAGTTAATACATTTTTTAGTTGTATTTGGCTAGCCTAATTTAATTATAGGTTTAAATGCTATTATTAGTTAATCTCAATTATATTAAAGTTATCTCTACTATTTTTTATTTTTTTTTATCAAACCTAAAATCTGAACTCGAAATCTTCATACTTGAAAACCAACCGTAACATTAATTGTACCAACCATGGCCATTCATCTTTTTTTAAATATTAAAACATAAGAATCGTTAAATTAACTTCTATTGATCTCCCATTTTTCACTAGGGCCAATAAGAAACTCCAACATTCGTATGCTTCAGAACTTTAGCCCCTATTGGTTGTAGTGGATTTGAATTATGGGATAATACCCAACTTACTAACACAGTTTATCTTGAATTCACATTGATTTGATGTATCTTATTAGACCTGTAAAATACGTTGCATGACCCTGAAAAAACTAGGAAGTTTGTGGTTGTCGTTGAAAAAAATTACAACCCTTGTATCATGCCGAGAATTGAACAACTTTTCTATATTCTTTGAGAGTTACTCCGACATAATTAAATGTCAATATACAATTTCTTTTGGTCAGTACAGTAAAAAGATTATATTATCATGTTGCCAAAAAAAAATGCTGGACGCTACAGAACTGGGTGCAAAAAGCCACCTGCCCTTTGTGTCATTTCTTTCATTTTTTATGATAATATATAGACTTTTAAGAAAATTATTAATTACAAAAATTATTTTTATTATCATTAGTTTGTTAGGTTGTTAGAATATTTGTTGAGCTATACAACTGTATTTTTCTTATATAAGAAATTTATGTATATCATTTCAGATATAGAAAATTAACAAAACCTTTTCTGTTTTCTCTTTTCTATATGATATTAGAATTATTCTAAATCCTAAAAAAAACGTCACATATCTTAAATCGTTAAAAATAGTCATTTATTATTTATTCACTTACCAAACCCAATAATACTGAATATAAGGGAGTGTATTAGGAAAAATCAAAGTCTCACATTGACTAGAGATTAGGCAATTAAATAGTGTTTAAGTGAAAAATAGTCCTCACCTTATAAGTCGATTTCGTAAGATTGAGTTAGACTCAAATTTACCATTCTAAAAATTTTGATTAAATATTTTTTCACAAAACTATTTTGTTAAAAGAGTTAGGACAAAATTTTAATTTTCGTTTTTGGCTGTTGTATAAATTATAAATATCTCTATGTAGAAACAATTCTATTTGAATTAGAAAAATCATTGTTGGAAACGATAAATAAAAACGTTGCTAAAGAAAAATTTTGTTACTTAGTTTTTAAAGTGATAAATATTTTTAAAAATATTAAAACATGTAAGCAAATATATAATTAGTTTATAAAAGTAACATTTTTATTAAACGTATCCTTTCTTTATTTAGAGCTAAGAAAGAAAAATAAGAAATGAGGATAGGTGATTTCAATTCAATATAATGTTGGAAAAAAGACAACATTAAACTTGATCATCAACTACAACTACGGACAGGATCGAGTGAATTTAGGCTTATGGTAAATTGCTTAGTGTTAATAAAGACGAATAAAAAGGTTAATCATCTAGACATGGAGCCATAGCATCTGAACTTAGGAATTTCCACAATTTGAATAATGCTTTGTGAGTTCTGAAAATTGTTACATGGTCCAAAGAATCATTGTTTCACTTGTACATTCAATCTCATGACCGCTTATAATGCTACAAGAAGAAGAAAAGCCGCACAACTTGTAGAAACCATCACATATAAAGATCCAATACCCTGAAATATGCATAATTGCTACAGCATCAGCATTAATGACGGCAATAACATACTATAATTTATACTTGTTCTATATTAATAACACAAAGTATATATATGAATATCCATACCTTGAATGAAAGAAAAGAAGAGGTTGGTGCGGAAGATACAAGCCCAGTAAAGCCTATATCATATGCAATGCTACCATCTGGTTTGAACAATCCAAAGTTTCTCTCAGAAGTAGGGCCAGGCTTCAAATTCTCATTGAACAAAGCAAAGATGTAAGCCCTCACAACCATCTTAGGCCTATAAGGGGTACCCTTTTTCTTCAGTAGTAGCTTCCGCAGGTTTTTATTATAAGTCTTTGCATTTTTCACTGTTGCACCAGCTTCATTTTCATCTCCATGAGAGGCCCAACCTGTCTCAGAAACAATGACTTCCATCTTGTCAAATCCAACCTTCTCCAAGGCTGCATAAGCAGCATCAATTTGGGCCATAAACATATTGTCATAGTGTAGCTTAGTCTTGGCATCATAGATCCCAGGATTTTTCTTAAAGAGGGCATAGTTGATGTCAATGTGTTGAGGGTCATTTTTATAGGCCAAAAAGGGGTATGCATTTATGTAGAAAGGAGTGCCAATTTGTGAGAAGAATTGCAAGAGAGGCTTCATGAAAGGTAACACATCTTCCCTAAAAGTGCATGCAGATGGAGGGTATGAATTTGCAAACACGGCTTCAGAATGTGGACTTGAGACTTGAATGGTGTGTGCCAAACCAAGCCTTTCAAGGGCTGTGTACACGTTTTTAGCAGCAGGAACCAAAGCTTCCCAAAGCTCCATATCTGTGCCTCCCAATATTTCATTCCCCACAGCAATGCCACGGATTTTGGTTCCTGGAAGAAATGGCTGAACATTTTCTTTGATCCAATTCATGGCACGATCTTCCCCTACACTTATGTCTTTCAGAAACTCATTTGGTAGCCCAATAATGATTGCAATTCCTGAACCTTTGAAGGCACTCAGGACTTGGTGATCAGCATCATATATTCTTATGTTCCTAATCTTCGCAGCTTTCAAAAGGGTAACTACACTCTGAGGAGAAGGTAGATTGTCTGCTATCCTACCATAGTTTACTCCATATGTTCCTGTAAATATTTTATCCCCCAAAACTGCACCACAAAACAATGTGAACAACTTGCTTAAAATTTCATTTCATGCAAAGCAATGCATAAAAATAATATAAACTATCGAGTTCAGTTGATTGAGCAAAGTGCACAAGTGTTGTAAACATCCTTAATACTATGTTCGATTTCCATGGATTAAAAAAACTTAAGTTTTCTACTTACTAAGCTGAAATGTTACCAAGCAAAAGGTACTCTACAAAACTAAATGCCAAACATACATTTTTGCATGGAATCATTGAAAGAACAAATAGTCTATTTACCAACACTGTATAACATTTTACACTGATATAATCACAAATTGTCATATATGATAAGTTTACTGATTTTTAAGTTAAGTATTTTAAAAGTTATATTCTATGATTTTTGATTGGTTGAGAGTTAAACCAATAATATATAGAAACTAAACTTCTATATAGAAATTTCCATTGCAAACAATTAAGTAACTATCCACTATGAATGGCCAACTTCTATTTTCAGAAAAAAAGAAAAGTGAAAAGATGAGTTTAGGAGCAATACAGACCGTGAGAAAAGGTTACAGAGAAGATGAGAAGGCAGAGAAAGAAGGAGCTTGAGGAAGAGAACATGGTCCGTAGTGTGAGATATTAAGAATGATAGAGCATTCCAGTTGTGGAAATAATAATGTGGGTTCCCTGTAATATGTAATTCAATAAGGGTAACGTGATGAGTGAAGAAATGATAAGCAATCGTGGGGGTGATGCAAAACTTTTCCTCCAGGCATGCCATAAACTAAAGATTCCTAGCTTTTTGACAAAAGATGGTGAGTAAAATATTTGAATAAGATTCTTGGCCTTAAACAAAAGATGATTGAGGATGTTTTGAGGGGCTTAGAATAGATTCTTCCTTTAACTCATCCTTAAAGTATACCTTTTTGCAAATTTAATCAAATGGGTGTGTCTGCAGGGTAGCTAACAGGGGCATCAAGGTAGACACGAAGGATGTGTAAATTGGTCATCAATACCTTTCGTGGCCTCATCAGCAACACTGCCTCTGCACAACAATTGATCAATGTTTCGTCAGAGAGAACAACATATTGGAAACTACACAAAGAGATAACGAAGTATGCATGCAATTATTGTATTGCGGAAAAAAATATTAAGAAAAATGTTTTGTATGTAAGATTGTATAAATATAAAGTTAGGAATATGTTATACATATACACAGTAAAATATAAGTTAATTCTTCTTCCTCCGTACTTAAATATAAACTAAAACAAGAGTTAGGTATAGTAAAAAGGGCTAGTCTCTCATGATATGTGAACTAAGGTTTCAATTTCTGTAAAAATAAGTGATCATATTTAGTGTCTAACTGTGTTGAATAAGATTATTTCCTGAGGAAAAAAAATCATATATAAGAAAAATAACTAATTTACACATTAATTAATTGATTTTCATTTGATTTTTCTGATGTGAGAATTCTATTGATAGATAATCTATAAATATTTTTATAAATGTTCATAAAACCTTGAGACTTATCATGGACCATGACTCCTGATACCTCATTCACCTAAACTTTTAATAAACAAAAAAAAAAGTGGTTTTCATTGAAATTTGGATGTCAAGAATAAAAATAAAAAGTTATTGAGTGTAAAATTTTAATTGAATCAGTATTTTAGGATTGTAAAAAAATGTTAAAATTTATTTATATTTTGATTTAGCATTCATTTTTTTATTATTTATATTTGAGTTTAAGAGGAGTATTTTATAACTCAATACCAAGGTCAAGTATTGAAATAAAAGTGTCGCCTGAACAAACAGTCTTAAAACAAATTTATTTTCTATTTTAAATTTTAGAATATGTCTGACTAGTAGTGATGATGATTGGTTTAGTCTTTATTTAAAAACATAAATTGTAATTTTCGAAATTTTGTCTTTATTCATTATCCGTTTTCATTTAAAAATAATAATTTTGCATTTGCGAGATTCAAACAAATTTCAAAGATTAATATTACATTTCACTGACAGATCAGTATTTTTTTTTTTGGTGTACAATAATACTAATAAGATTTGAATGTAGAATATCATGCAAATAACTCAACTCCTTTTAGTCAATTCTTAATGATCTAATATAGTGTTTTGTTGGAGACAAATGAAACAGAGGAGAGGTTTTTTTTATAATTTTTTATTTGCATCAAAATTTTAAAGAAGAGAAAAAGGAGCTAAAATTTATTCTCATTAATTCAATTTTAAGAAGGTGTATTGAATTGAAATTTTATTAAATTTCTTAAGGACAAAAATGTCTTATAGATTTAAAAAGATTTTGTAGAAATTTAATGATTTTTAAGATTTTAAATTTTTTTTTTGTAAGAATATGACTTTTAAGATTTTTTAATCAAAATTTTGTAACATGAATGTTAATAGATTTGAATCTTAAGAATTTATAAGATTTGAAAAGATTTTATAAAATTTTAAAGGATAAAATAAATTTTTAAGAAACAATACAATTTTTCTACATAAAAAAATGATAAAATTTAAATAAAAAAATATAATTAATAATTTTTAATTTTTTTAAAAAATAATTGGTTTGGATTTCATGTTCTCTAAGTATTTTTTTATATACAATCTTTTATACATTTATATTTTCTCATTCATATTATTGAATTTGAATAATATATTCAAATTTATGATAGTCATTAATCAATACAATTGTCAAAAATATTTTTTTAATATATGTTGAAAATTTTAAAATTTTAATATTAAATTTAATTCAAAATAAGTATTTGTTAAATTTTAATAATTAAAAATATTAAAAATATTTAATATTTAATAATTTAAAAATAATTTTAAATATTTAATAATTTAAAAATAAATACTAATAAATTATACATCAATATTGATAGATAAAAATGTAATAAAAAATATTAATAGGTAAAAAAAGATTGGAGAAAAATACAGAGAATAAATAAATGAGAGAGATAAAAAAAATATATGAGATAGAGAAAATATGAAAAGAAAGAAGAGGGAGAAAAAGAAGATGAGATGGGGAAGAGAAAGACATAGGAAGGAGAAAAAGAGAGAACAGAGAGGAAGGAGCAAAAGAGAGAAGCAAAAAAAGCAAGGGATAAAAAATAAACAAAAACAATTATACTAAATCTCAATAATTTTAGCGAGATTGTTAAATGAATGAACTATATGTAAATTTTACTAAAAAGTCTTATGAAATCTATTCATTAAAAAAATCCATTAAAATATTTATGATTTTGGATATTAATAATTTTTTTTTAAGTGAAAAAAGTTTTAATTGAATATTACCAAATTTTGACTTATTTCTAAAAAAAATATTAATTGTCTTAATTAAATAATACTATATTTTGATATATTCTTGGAAATTCATAATTATCTTAATTAAATATTTCATTAATTTTTATATTAAAAAATAATTAAATATCACAAAAAAAAAATTATAATAAAAAAATGTTTTAAAATGACAATCCAATATATTTGTCTAACTTTTCTCTTTACCCCTTCCAAAATTAGGGAGATCTGGAGAGCAAAACTTTATAATAGTTAATTTGTTTATTTCTGCTTTCCCTTGTTGATCTATTTCTCTTTTTGTTGATTTAAATTGTACCTAACATTTATTTCTCTTTTTTCCTGGTTAATTTTACTTCTCCCATTGATCTATTTACCAAATTATGATGATGACAAAATTAGCCACCAAACATAACTAATTTGTGTACTAAATATTATAATTAATGGGAAGAGACAAAAAAAAAATGAGAGGCCAAATTATTAAAGTCTAAAAAATACATAATCTTAAAATCTTGAAAATAGTGATGGTAAAAGAAATAATCATGTGATAAGGTTTGAGAGTTTAGATTTGTAATTCAAAAATCATTAATTCAGTAATTAAATCAATGATCATTAGATTAATTAGATTTACATAAAATAAACCAATTATTTTAATTTATCTAAGCCATTTTAATTATTTTCATTTTTATTCAAATTCAAGTATATTGACTACACGAATCAGCAGGTTAGTTTAGCAGTGAAGAATCAATTTCAATCATCATTTCATTTCCATGTTTTCTACTGATAAATGACTGTTCTGTCATAAATTTGTATCCGCTCATCTCTGTTGTAAAGACTACTGGTATATAAATAATATCTTTTGTAGAGTTTGTTTTTAGATTTTTTTAATTTTATAGTTGATAGCTCATGCGATACATGTTATTGGATCCTTAAAAAAGCTAACCTCAATCCCAACCACTTGGGCCATTTTTACTGGTAGTGTTAAAACACGAACTGTTGTTGAAAATTTAGATTCCAAAATTCCCGGTGATCCAGATGCACTGTTTGTTTGACAGAGATGAACAAAATAAATATAAAGAGAATGTAAAAAAAGGAAGAGAAATAATTGAGAAATAAAATTTATTTGATTATAAAGAGTGAAAATCAATTTTTAATTTTAAAAAATTATATATTAATTTTTTATATATTAAACACGAATTTTTATTTTATTATTTTTTTTAAAAAAATTTAATAAGAGAGTTTATAA